TGCTCAGGGTACCATTAGCAGCTAGTGTTAAGCATCAAACACAATCTGGCTAAGGCATCCCAGCTGAAGGGGCTGGGTGGCGGGTTAGAGAATGGTGATAAATTCTAGAAGCATTTCAAAGAACAGCTCCAAATGTTATTTCCAAATACATACAACACGGCTGTTGGCAGGGCCTGGTGTAGAGGGAGCTGCCTGAGAATCCTTGCCACCTTAGAAGTAGGTACAAATCCCTTGTAAGAAGCACATCAAAGCTGGAAAGAAAAGAGCTGCTGCCCATCAGGGGCTGGAAGCGCTAGTTGCTTCTGTCGGGCAGGACCTGGCAGCTGGTGCAGTTTCTCCTGTTTGAAGTCATGACTGCCTTTGCTGCCACAGGAGCACATGTGGGGGTTGAAGGTGCAAACCACCATCGCTTCTAAATTACCCGATTTTCCTATAGAAGATGTTGGGACTATGACCTTCCTGTTTTCCTCAGAATGAATGGAGTAACTTCATGTCTTCAGGTAAAGGACTGTCGTCTTCCTCTCCCACCTAACATGCTCTGTGATGGTTTGGTCAGCATGCATTTGTTAATCCCACTAAATGCTCTCTGGGACCCTTCTTTGACTATAGGTGTCCATGGAGGCTCACCCAAGGGTCTGAAATTCAGCAGCTTTCATTTCAGTTTTCCCGACTCGCAGATGGGATGCAGCCTTCCCATGGGCTCCTTGAAGCTGGGATCTTGGCAGCACGCACTGCCTGGACAGCGTGTGTTTTCATTCTCCACAGTCTGGCTGACGGCTCAGACAGCCCCTTCCCTGCTCAGGTGGCTCTCCCCAACCTCAGAGCCTGTGTCCAGTGTAACTCACAGTTTTCCTGCCTGGTCACCACCCAATATCTTGTTTTCCTTTTACATCAAAATCCAAGACACAAACTGTCAAATACACTTTTGGTTTAACCGTATTTATTCCTCAACCACAATTCTAAAGTCCTTACCCTGCAACACATTGCATCTTGCTGTTGGTTTAATGCCATTTTTACCCCATTTACTCTTATTTATTAGTAGTTTTTTAAAGCGAAACTTTAATTTTAAAAAATGATTTATTTCAATTTTATTATTTTAGAGAGAGATTTTTGCTATATGGCACATATGTTCACCAGAGAGCCAGACAGAGAGCAATTGAGAAATCACCCCCCCAGAGAGAGGGCCACACCACAATCCTTACTTCTCCATTTTCCTCTTGGGATTTCGGGCACGCATGCACATGTACCCAGTGTTAAGTTTCAAGCCACAGGTTTAAACCACAGTTGGCCATGTGGGAGTCTAGTGCCTTAACCACTATGCCACCTGGTGGCAAATATTTTTTAATTATTATTTTAAGAGAGATTTTTGCTGTAGAGCATGTGCACTCATCAGAGAGACAGACAGAAAGTGAGAAATCACCCCCCAGGGCGGATGGCCATGCTGCAATCCCTTCTCCTCCCATTCTCCTCTAAGGATTTTGGGCACACATGCACATATGCATGGTGTGAGTTTGAAGCTGCCAGGTCCAGGACTCAAACAGTGATCCAATGTCAGAGTGCCAATGTGGGAGTCCAGTGACATAACCATTATGCTGTCTGCTGCTCTTGCAAATATTTTTTCACGTGGAAAGAGGAGAGAGAGAGAGAGAGAGAGAGAGAGAGAGAATGAGAGAAAGTAAGCCTCCAGGTCTGGGACTTGAACCACGGTTGGCCATATGGGAATCTAGCACCCTAATTACCATGTTAATTGCCAGCCCTGAAACTTTTGTTTTAAATAATTGTAGAATCACAGTACATTGCAAGAAACAATACATTCACCCTGGTTTCACCAATGGAAACATTTTGTATAGCTATATTACAGTACCAAAACTGAGAAATTGGGTTTAATCCTGGTTATCTATTCTCATAGGTACTAGGCATTCTTTTAAATTCAGAGTTTAGAGATTACATTAGCATTATCAAAATTTTAAGAGTTCTAATCAGATTAAATGGGTAGCAGGTGAGGGTCCAAAACAGAGGAAGAGAGAGAAATGGCCTTTTGGGGAGAAGAGATGTCTTGAGGCTTGCCACTCGGTACTCCGTAATACAGGGATCAGAAACAGAGAAAATACACTTACAATGCGTAATGATATGTCTTTATTTCATCAACAGAAATGGTGTCTAGACGAAATTCAGTTAACACTAGCAATTCAACTGAGTGAAAACAATTTTTTTGCACAATAGTGTATTTACAATGAGTAAATGAAGTTTCAATTCATTAGTTCATAGCAATGTTTTTTTTTCCCCCAAAAGGTAAAAATTCTTAGTTACAGAGAATAAGCATCAACAGCCATTTCATTTTTACAATAAAAACCACAATAAAAACCACAATCACTTAGGAAAAAAAAGGACAAGCCTAAGAACTAGTACAATAAAATGATGCATTGAATTAAGTTACATTAATCGCATAGAATCTGTGTAAAAAGTATGTAGAAAAACACCTGATGTAACCTGTTACAGTCGTTGACCAGTTATGAGAGGTACAGAGGGTTATACAGGTAGATATGTGTGAAAACTGTCCGTATTGTTTGACCTGGGGAGGAAGAGAAGAGGGGCTGTAGCCCCTTGCATACACTGAGAAGACCCTGTTTTGAATATGGCCTCTGGAGTTTGTAAGGCATATATTAGAGGTGCACTTGCATCAGACTGGTTCTGGAACAAATTCTCACAGGCCTCCTGGCCTCACAAACAAAGGTGGGGCTTGCTTTGAATGGCTCACTGTGTCTAACAAGCACCCGAAGCTCCCAAATGCATCTGGAATCCTCCTAATCATTTATCAGAAGTGCCAGGTCTTTTATGTCAGGGTGTGAATGGGCATCCCAGCATTCTCACATGCAAAATGCATTGTTAGGACTCAAGTGGAAGTGCCCCCATGCCTTCCCTCATGTTTTGATAGAAGACATGGCATTGATCTGTCGGAAAACCCCTTTGTCCACATACCTTCACTCTTTTCTGACATACAGATATGATTATCCCATGGGAGCCTTTGGCACTGAATGTGTGTCTACCTAAAATGAATGGTCTTGATGCACTTTTGCTTCTAAGAAGGGCCACTGTTTTATCTGAGGTCAATAAACTGGAATGAAAATGAAAGTCAGAGCTGTTTATCCATTGCTTCACAGCGAAATGCATACACCATGTCACAACATTTAATCAAAGCTAGGAAAGTTGGCCTCTATAACCAAGTAGATATTCTTCACAAAATGGCAACATCATTTTCATATTACAATTAGAATGCACTGATAATTCATTTGATATAAATATTATCTCCCAGGGTGGAGTGTAGGAAAATACTATACACTTACTTTTCTTTGCAAGTAACATTTTGCACCGTCAGTTGAATAATTTATCCTTAATCTGCCACAATAAGTCTTTTCTATGTACAAATACTATTCGCACACACTATTTGTATACAAATATATTCTATTCTATAGCATCGCTCTTTGATGCTTGGGTCATGAGATGGCTCGGGCAGAATTATAAACATACACCTTGAACACAGAATGTCTCCACACACAGACTTCCTGCAGGAATACCAACTCCACACAAGGCATTGTATTGTGAACTGACTGACCAGAAATTGAACCTACCATGAAATTTTCAATTTCAGGAAGAAACACTAATTCCTGACACAATGAACAGTTTTATTCTAACAAATGAAACCAAAAAAACCTTGTTCTTACTCTACTTTTAGTGATTTGAGGGGAAAAAATGGATTTCCCCCCCTTTAAGATTGAGACTCCTACTAAACAGTATACAATAGAGGAGTAATTTGATGTAATTTATGAAATAGCTTCTAATTTAAATGGGGCATAATGTATCAAAATAGGTAGACAAGTAGAGATTTGGAAAAGCTTTGTAGGCCTTTACTCATTTTGAGAGGATTATGCTACTCCTCAGATGTAGCAGCTTCCTGGGGCAGGACTTCAGTTTCCTAAAGAGCTTATCATTTTCAAACCTTTTTTTCTTTTTTTTCCTTTTCCTTCTTCTTTTATGGCAGTCATAAAATATGAGAAGAGAAAGGATAGGTTTAGGCTTCTGGACACCAGCACTAAACTTCGCATCGTGCACTCCAAACTAATTTAGTCAGTCCTTTTACGTGAGTCCTGTAGCTGGGCCTCAGGCTCCTTTTTAAGGAGAAGTGGCAGTTGGCCTACCAATCACTAGTCTTTTTCTCACTTCCTTGGAAAAGCGATATAAGGATTATATCCAAAATGATAATGCATCTTAAAAGCAGCATACTTTAGAAAGACAGTTAATAAATTACTTGTACAACATACAAAATAACATTTTCTACTGCAGCATCACCTCTGACGCCTGAGTCATGGTTAGGGAACTTGGAAGAGAAGTAGCAGAATGGCCTAGTAACTTTGCCAACTGTTTTTTCTTTTCTTAAAAAAAAATTATAACTGTTTTGTTCCAGAATCAGTATGCTATGAAGTTTGATTTTATTCAAGGCACCCCCAGATAACGCAGAAAAACAGACACATACAGCAAAGCACTCACCTGCCCAAAGCCTGACCAACCTGAATGAAGGAGGTTGTTTAGAGACACAAATAGGACACAGGCAGATCCAAGGGGAGGACTAGATTTGGGTGAGGTGGTAATCAGTCTCAAGGGCAGCTCCACTGGCTCCACCTCAACAACCCACTCCTACTCCAGTCATTTGGAGACTCAACCAGGCTGTCATAGGGGCCCTTCTAAATAGCTCCTTGTAGCAGGGTCCTTTATTTTTATAAGGAAGGACCTTGAAAACACAACTAAATGTCACCATACTGTGCAAACACTATTTCTTGCTGTTTACTTGCTTTTCCTTTTCATGAAAGGCATGGGATTGACTAAGGGATTCCGGTAAAGAAGACAGGCTTTAAGTTCTTTAAGTTCTACTTGAGGCGATTTGGATTCTGTTCCCAGCAAGTCCTCCTTTTGAATCAACCCAGAAACACTTTTGACAAGCACATGGTTCAGAACAGTAAAAGACACAGATATGTCACACGAATTGTACAAAGCTAGTTGCTGTTTGTGATGGAGAATGAATCAAATAACTTGTTAAAAATCCCTAAGAAGTCGAAAGACAGTTTTTAGAGCAGTGTTTTTAACCAGTCCCATGGCAGGGGTTGGGTGCGGGAAGAGGAAGAAACTGAGGCAGGGGTTGGTGAGAGGTTGAGGGTTGAGTTAGGGTGGACAGAAATAAAGAGACCCCTGTCCTCCTGGAAATGGCTGCCGCACAGGTCTGGGCTACTGAACACAGCAACCTGGGGCAACAGATGGAATGTGGTCAAGACTACCAGTTGCACATGAGTTGTTACCAGGGTAAATCATGCCAAGAAGCTGGTTTGGACCTGGTTATGATATGAGTAGAAAACATTCCTTTTTTAAAAGAAGAGGAGAGGTCACTTAAAAGGCAACAAGAGAGCTAAGAAACAAAATACTGTCAGCTGACTCCTCCACCATCACACATACCTGTGAAGTATCAACTTGATTCACATTGAATTTAAATTCTAGCTGTCACCAGTTTCCACAAAGGCAAGCCTCACGGTGAAGCACAGAACTGTTTTACTAGGCCAAGAAATTCCAACAACTGTAAAAAAAAAAAATAAAGGCAAAGTAGCTCCCACATAGAGACATATCAAAATCTGTCTCAGACAAGCACTCACACATACATACACACATGGGAAGAAAACAAAAACCCAGAGGCAGGTTTTAAGAGTGGAACTATTTTAAAAGAAAAGCCTTTTTTTTTTTTTCTTTTATCCTACTGCAGAACCAACATTTTCCTGGCATTCATACATATTTAAACATTTAGCGCTAATATTTGTACAGAAAAAAGTTAATAATACTAAAACATATGTTACTATGATTCACTTTTCGCCTACATCATATACTAATTTCCCCTTTTACATGCAGCTTTAATATTGTCCAAACAATGGCACAAATAAAGAAACAAAGTCAACCATCTATTTCCCCACTGCCCACCACCCCATCCCCACATCAAACTGTTCAGGACTCTCTTCCACAGCCAGGCTGGGTGGCCCGTGGGTTGTTCAGCGAGACTGGGACCACTGGAGGGGGAGGGAGCTGATTCCTCCTCCTTCCACACTTTCCTGTAAACGCGTCCAGGGGGCCAACATGCCCCCAAAGCCAAGGGAAGCTGCTCTCTCTGGGTTGCAAGCCAACCAGTTTTGCAGCAAGAGAACATACTGATCATCAGGCGAGGATAGGGTATATGTGTGTGTGTTGGGGAAGGGAGAGGAGGAGGGGTCCTGGTGATACCTTATCCAAGGCCTCAGAATGAAGTCTGCCTTCAGACAAGAAACTGGCAGAAAAACCTCAGAGTACAACTCAAAGCATTCAGAGAAGAGAAGGAGAAAGAAATATGTGAGTCTGTCGGGGTTGGACCTCAGGTTGGAATCTGCCCTGTTATTTCCTACGACTGGTGAGCCGCATTAATCCAGTGCAGCCACTTAGAGGCAGGAGCCTTGGAGCTGTGATTCAAACCCCCTCAGGCGAGAGATCCCAGGAGGCCAATCCTGGGCAAGAGAGCGGGTGGCTGTCAGCCACATCCTTCAAAGGTCTACTGCAGAACACTTCCTAGGGCAAGCCGAGGCCTGATGAAGTGCTGAAATGAATGGGACTAACTCCCCGGGTGAGAAAACAGTTCTAACTTGATTTCTAGGAGCCAATGTCTGCTGAGTTCTGGTATAAAATCATGGATTCCTGTTGTTTTGATGCATGTTTGAGTGAGATGTCCAAACTCTCTCCCCACTTAGGAATCTGAACATCCAGCATCAACTCTGAACTCTCTATCTGCATTTAGATTTTGCTTAGGGAAAGGTGGGGAGGAGGTGAAATAGAAAAATATTCAAGCAGATTCTTGTCTACACATCCTAGGATGAATTAATTATTTGGCAAGATTGTTTTTCCTACATAATTATCACCTGAGTGCTTTTTAATTATCTAAAATGTTTTACTTTTTAACGAAAAGTAAAGAATATACAGTATACTTGAGTTATGATGAAGTGACAACTTCATTTAAGAAAATAGGTTTGACCCAAAACTCAGTGCAAGTGGCAAAGTTGACCATTACTGTACAGTATCTGCAAGGAAAAAAAAAAACAAAACAAAACAATAAACAACCCACAATGCTCAGACGACACCATTTGTTGGTGCCCAAACCAAACTGAACAAACAAAAAGGTCTGAAATAAAACCTTGAGAAAAGCTTCCAACATTAACTACTGTCCATAAATAAGTACAAATTGGAACTGAACTGTGAAGTAAGAAAAATGACCATGTTAACAGTTACCAAACTAGTTCTAGCATCAGAGACAAAAGAAGAGGAATGTTGGAACCTGTTTATAAATGAGAAATGAAGTTTCCAGTTTTAGGATGAGAAAATTGAGGCATGCAGGACTTTTGCATATGGAGATATATATATATATATTTTATATATATTATATATAATATGTACAGTCTAGCTATAAAACTTTGATGTGTATAGAAGCTGTCTTCAATGAAAAAATTGAACATTCAGAAGAAATTCCTGAGATAGGGTTTGTGACATGGGCCACTGAGAAAAAAAAAATCCGTGGTTGGGTCCTAGAGGTGTTGCAGTCTATCCCTGTGAAGACTGAAATGAACCCACAGACAGACAGTGTTGGCACTGCTGTCTTCCCTCGCCTGAGCAAGGGGTAGCACCATTGTGAAGGTAACTATCTATCACTCCTGCTTGAAGAGAAAAGGGAATACTTCGGAACAGTATTGCTGCTAAGACTGCTGTAGTGTGCACCAAATTTGTTCTCGGTTCTTCAAGACAACAGATGAACAGCGCCACAGGCTGACCGAAGAACACCTGAATGGGAGAGGTGTGAGGATGGCAGCAGATCCGCGTCACTAGGTGTAATCTTTCCTGGGCTGTTCGTCAGTTGTACACTTATCAGTCATTTCCTGGCAGAAGTCCACGGTTACCGTTTGGCTCCTGGGTTCAAGAGGAGGTCCTCTCTCTGAGAAGGTTCCTGGGTCAGTGCCTTCCAGCCTCCTCCCAGAGGTACAATTCTCAGAGGCGTTGCTGGGGACCCAGGGGGGCCCAGAAGGAGCCGAACTAGGCTCTGAGCAGCAGGGTACATTTTCCCCCACCACACATTGGGAGGCTGTGAGGTTCTGCTCAACACCCAAGGGTGCAGGGTTAATACTGGAGGCTGTGGGGAGATCCATGGGTCTGAGGACAGGGCAATACCGATGCAGCGCCTGGATCTGCTCAGGGCTCTGGATGTCACGGCAGACTTCCTGGGAAAGGCAGGAGAAGTTGTCCAACAACTCCCCCATGCAGGCTTTCAGCTGATTCCTCTCTGATAATAGCTTTTCTTTCTCACACACCTGGACAATAGAGAGAAAAAGGGGAAACCTTGATCAAGTCTTAATTGGATGACATAGATTTTGGTTCTGGGCGTTTGTCCATCTTTGCCTTTATAGCCTGCAGTAACTCACGAGACCAGCAGGTGGCGTGGTGGTTAAGGCGTTGGAGACTCCCACATGGTTGACCACTGTTCAAGTCCCAGACCTGGTGGCTTGCTTTCTCACCCTCTCTCTCTGATCAAATTAAAAATAAATGAATAAATAAAGTTAAATAATCCTTAAAAAAGAATAATGTAACTCATGAATGACCAGGACAGGCTCTGAAAGGTAAAAGTCACACATCCTGGAGCCTGGACATGCATTCTGCCCGTGTCCCATCTGAGCACTCTCCCCAGATGTTTCACCAACGCCTTCCCCATGCCACCTCTTCATCCTATTCCAAGGCTCAGGCCAGTGACCAGCAAAATCACTACCCACCAGAAAACTACAGGGAGTCAGTGTTCCAGTTTCCTGGAATGTGGGGGTTTGTGGAAAATCAACTGGGAAACCGGTTTCAAACCTTGTAGTTGAAAATCTCCCCCAAAATGTGTAAGACTGCTATTTCTGAAGGTCAAAAATTGACCAATTCCAACACACTCACATTCTGAAAGGGCAAAACTATGGAGGCAGTAAAAGGCTCAGAGGTTGCCAGGGGTAAGGGGGGGGAGAGAAGAACGAACAGGTGGAGCACAGAAGACCTTAGAGCGATACTTTTAGACTGCTGTGTGCTACGATCTTGGTGGATAATGTTACTCCAAACCTACAGTATGTACGGCCCAGTGTTAAGGTAAACTGGACACTGGGGAGTGATGGTGTGTCGATGCGGGCTCATCACCCACAGTGATAGAGCATTCTGTGGGGGACATCAACAGTTGGGGGCCTTTTATATGTGGCAGCAGGGGCATATGAGGACTCTGTATATTTCATTCAATTTTGCTGTGCACCTAAAGCTGCTCTAAAAAAAAGGTCTATTTTAAAAAATATTTTAAAAATCCTCAGGAAAAAAAAAAAAGAAAAGAAAAGAAACCAAACAAACAAGAAAAAGACCATTAGGCTAACAGCAGCAGGCTCTCTGGCCTTTATGGCAGAGCCGACTGAGCAGATGGATCCTCTTAGACAGAGGGAGATGGTACGGGAAGGGACGACAGAAAAGTGATAGAGCCTGGACCCGCACGTACCTGCCCCAGCCCTTATGTTACTGAACTTCAGCACCCCATCAGAGAGATGAACTCAGAACTAGGGGGAAGATGAGAGTTTTCCATTGATATTGTGTGAGGAGGTGAGGAGGTCCCATGAGGCACACACCATGAAGTGGGTGATGTTCCTCACCAACCTTCTGTAAGGGTGGGCAGGAGGGGTGAGGGGTGGATGGGAAGGTGTAGGGAGGAGGGCAGGATTTGACATGCACAAGGAACAGGTCTCCTACATAAGAGCTACACGTGCTGCAGGATGAATGCAATCTGGCAGGCAGCGTGGGCATGTGTCGGAGAAAGAGATTTACACAGGGAAAGGGCACCTGCTAAAATATTTATAAATTTATCAAGAAAACATGTTTAAAAAATGAAAAATAAACAGATGTACAAGTGTAACTTGAGAGAAATACATTATGCGAGTTTGCAAAAGCTGAGTGGCGGGTGTGTGGGAGACAGTGTGGGAGTGGGGAAGCAGTGCAGGCTTGCTGGGGATGGGATAGGGCAGAGGCGGAAGCTGCCCCATCCCCTGTGCTACCTCCACTACTTAGAACAGGTGGGTGGACACAGCATCCCTGCTATGGGGTGGTGGATAAGGAAAACACATCTGGAGGTCTCGGGGTAAAAACCTTACATGCATGTCTGTGCAACCTGGACCTCTCTGTTTTCAACCTGGAAATCTGTAGTGTGAGGGGGAACCCTGCTTGGGCACCAGGAGAGGCTCTCTCTAGGAAAGGCAGTGTAAGTCATGACTTGGTTAAAAGCATAAAACTCAAAGTCACAGATTGGTTCTGTGGCCTGGGGGTTAAGGCTGGATCCCACAGGGTTGACCACGCAGTTCAAGTCCCAGACCTAGCGACTTGAAAAACACACTGGATGCATGTGTGTGCATTCCAAAAATCTCCAAAGGAGGGAAAAATGGAAAATAAGGAGGGTTGGCAACATGACCACACCACATTTGGGGTTGCTTTTACCTTCTCCTCCTCTGTCTCTTTCTGGCAAGCATATGTGAACAAGCTCCCTGGCACCAGTGCCTGGCCTGGTGGAAGATAATCCCTTCATGGATGGGGGGGTGGTGTTGGTCCTGGGATGACTCAAGCTCACCACATTCAGTGCACCCTGTTACCACCACTACCACATTGCAATATACAATGAAACAATCACACAACGATAGAGTTCACACTCCCACAAGAACCCAGTACCATTGCTACCGACAGGAGGTGGAGCCCAGGGGGCAGTGCGGGCATTGGGGAGCAGCTGCAAACACAGAGCAAGCCTACTCACTGGCCTGCCTGCCCATCCCCCCTGCAGCCCTGAAGACTGGCTCTGGTCCATGGACCAGCTCCCTACAGGGTGATGACAGAATTCTTACTACTCTTTCCTATTCCAAAATTGTTTCCAGGAGTCCTGAAAGAGCCACTCCTACAAACATTAACAGACCACTGATAGCGAGATGCTGCATTCTGTCCCAGGCATGGTGTTTTTATGATGTATAGTAAGCCTTCTTAACTCTTTTTTTAAAAGAATTATTTATTTAACTTTATTCATTCATTTATTTTTAATTTTACGAGAGAGAGAGAGAGAGAGAGAGAGAGAGAGAGAGAAAGCAAATGCACAGGCCGGGGCTTACCATACCCAGCCATATGGGAGTGTCTTGACACTTTAACCACCACGCCACCCGCTGGTCCCCTTCTTAGCTCTTAAAGCACAGATAATCTTTTGCTGATTTCTTTCATGAACAGAGACTTGTGATTTTCTTTAACCAATGATCAGTCTAAGAATTTCAAGCTCATCTATAACCTACAAGCCTCCACTTCCAGATGTCTCACTTTTTTGGGCTGAGCCCATGTACAGGACTCCTTATGCTGACTGACGACTCTCCTGCTCTCAGAACTATATAAAAGGAGCTACTGTATCTCAGCACCCTAAGAAACATACTTGTCTTTCTCTGGGTCTGGTCATGCAACTTCATGCTTAGTAATAAACCACATTAACTATTATTTCTACAGAGTTGGCTATTTCCATTGACAATGCTGGTCCATAGCCTGGGGGTTGGGGACCCCTTCTTTAAGTAAATACCTGGTGTGTGGTTTAAATTTTTTTAAAAATATTTTTATTATTTTTTAATTTGACGAGAGAGAGGGAGAGAGAATGTGAGAGAGCAAGCTGCCAGGCCCGAGACACAAACCATAGTTTGCCATGTGGGAGTCCAGTACCTTAACCACCATGCCACCTGCCAGCACCCCCCACCCCGCCCCTTTTTAAATAAAAATTTGTCGGAGAACACATGTGCTTGCTGGAGAGAGATGGAGAGAGACAGAGAGAGAGAAGTTGAGAACAGCCAGCTTCGCCCCAACCCCCACAGCAATGGTCATGCTGCAATCTCTTCTCCTTGATCTCTTGCCCCTTTTGGGATTTTGGGCATGAACACACAAGCTCCTGGCATGTTGCTCAAGGCCCTGGGTCTGAAAGCCTCCATGTCATGAGCTGGTCTTAAATTTTATTATCTGATCATTATTACAAAATAACACCAAGCAAAATGCTAATTACCAAATCAAGTGTTTCTCGAATATGAACAATTAGTTATTCTACTACCTAAAGGGGAGCCCAAGGCAAGCATTGTGGTAGCTATGTGCTCGAGACCCTGTAGACGCTCTGGTGGGCTTGGCTACCTTACATCCAACAGTCTGGCACTCATCAGCAACAATGTCTTGCTTCCTTATTGTGATTTTTTTTTTTTTTTTTTTAGAGATTTTCACTGTAGGGCGTGTGCGCTCGCCAGACAGACAGAGAGAGACATAGAGACAGAAAGCGAGAAATCACCCCCCAGGGGGGATGGTCACGCCGCAATCCCTTCTCCTCCATTCTCCTCTCGGGATCTTGGGCACGCACGCACACGCGCCCAGCGTGAGTTTTAAGCCACCGGGTCCGGGACACGAACCGCGGTCGACTACATGGGAGTCCAGCGACATAGCCATTACGCTAACTGCTGGTTCCCGCTTCCTTATTGTGATTTAAATTAAACTTTGTTATTGGTAAAACAAGATTAAAGGAAAATTTGAAAGAAAGAAGAAACTCATAATCTCCCCACCCGAACAGTCACCATTTCCAGTAAATTTTAGGGCAACAAACATTTCTTGAGAGCCAGCAATGAGTCCCAGTGGGCCTGACACTGGAGATTAAGAGATGATCAAGACACTGTTTATGTCCTTGAGGACCTTGCATTCTTTCTCTTTTTTTTTTTTTTTTGAAAGGTTTTTGCTAAATAGGGTGTGTACGCTTGCCAGAGAGACAGAGAGACAGAAAGCAAGACATTCTCCAGGGGAGATGGCCACACCTCAATCCCTTCTCCATTCTCTTCTCAGGATCTTGGGCACGCATGCAGCCCGGCTTGAGTTTAACCCCCCGGGTCTGAGACTTGACCCTTGGTCAACTACATGGGAGTCCAGCGACACAGCCATTACGCCAACTGCTGGTCCCTGAGGACCTTGCATTCTAAGGTGGCGGGGGGGGGGGGGAAGGTGCAGGGCTGGCAGACACATACATAGATAATTGAAGACTAATGTGAGAAGCACCAAGTCCAAGGTCAGATCCAGGATCCAAAGGCAGGTGCCCAGCCTAACCAGTAACTCAGGAAACGAAGGCTTCTTGGAAAGTGATAGCAGACCTGACTTTTAAAAGAACAAAGGGACCAGTCCATGAGAGCTGGATCCCACATGGCTGACCATGTGATTCTATTACCAACCCCAGCAACTGGAAAAACATGCCAGGTACATACATGTACATGCATGCCCCAAATCCTGAACAGCGGGAGAAACGGATGATAAGGGAGAGTGGTGTGACCATGACCCATGAGGGCGCTTTCTCACTTTCTCCCCTCTCCCCATGTTGCAAAAGCATGTATTCCACCTCCCCCCCCAAAAAAAACCCCCCAAAAAAACCTAAAACAAAGGAGAAAGCTAGAAGGTAAAAGTATTGAATCATCAGGAAAGCCAAGCCATGTTGCATTTCTGCGTAGAAAAATGTAGAAAAATATGTCAAGACTTTCCCAATGACCTAATAGAAGAATGTCAGGGCAGAGGAGAAAGAGCAGAAACACGTGTGCAGAGGTATACAACAGCAGAAGTGGGGATCCGGACAGTTTGATATTACTAGGGGTCGATTCTTAGGAAGGGCATGGAAAGTGATGCTGTGTGAGGGGCAAGTACAGACCAAATCAAGGAGGGCAAGGTATGTCTTCCTAAGGAGCTTCAGCTTTACTTGGCAGGTTATAGAGGCTACTGAACATGGGCAGATTTTCTGTCTGATGGGTATTAATAAAAAACAAAAAAGGAAATAAAAATACACACACAAAAAAACCCCACCCCTGAAGTCCAGGGTTATCTAGATAAGATCTAACTTTTTTTTGTGTGTGATTTTCAAAGCACTTTTTCTCTTGGATTTTTATCAGGACAACGGCTTACCATGAGGCCATTACAGGATTATCGCAAAGGTCTGAAAACCCATACTGAGATCATGACCACTTTACGTGGCCTCCCTCTTCTTCAGCTGACACAGAAATGGCACCTGAGATGTGTTTCCAGTGTTTGGCCAGCAGAAAAGCTGAGCTGAATGGGGGTGATTTTGTTGCCTTCAAAGCTACAGTCAGGATCCCAAGGCCACTTGGATTTACTTCCTGTAGTCCAAGATTGCTTATGAAACAGAGGGGTGGGTACATAGCTCTGAGTGTAGGGAGTTTGGGAGATGGGGGTTTGCTTCCTGAGACAGAACATCCTCAGGCACAGAGAAGGGATGACAGCCATGCTAAGGCAGAATGCAAAAATCAAAGACCTGGGGGCTGCAAAGGGTGCCAGGAGGCCACCTGGCTGAATAAAGTAGGTGTCCTACTTCGAACCTATCACTCGTGTGCAGGAAGTCATGGGGAAAAAAGCACAGGATTATTTGCAATCAGACACCTGGGTTTGTGTTCAAGCCCTACCGCACACTGGGAAATTACTTGATCTTTCTGCATCCTAGTTTCTACCACTGTATAAGGATAAATGTAGGGTAGCCATAAATAAGGATAATGGGAGGGTTAAATTGTGATCAGCCACAAAAGCAGTTTAGAAGAATATCTGGTCCATAGATGCATACTATAAATGTCAGATATTAGGATATATCAAATGGAAAAAAAAAAAGAAGAGCCTCCTCTCTCTATGGATGGCTTGAAGGATATAAAACATGGACACACTGTCACACACCTGCACATATACACATACTGCAGAGGTAAAACAACTATTTCTGTTGAGAAACTTGTTGGGAAAAAAAAAACCAAACTTCCCTTTAAGGATGACCCTTCTCTCTATTCCTCCAGCTTTCTCTGCTGTAACTTTCCATCAGCCCTGGTCACCTCGGGTTGCTGGATGGGTTGACTCACCAGTTTGCGGATTTCACACTCTAAATTCTGGATGCAGTCTAGTTTCCTCTTGCGGCAGCGTTGGGCTGCGATGCGGTTCTTACTGCGCCGTCGGACGTCGTGAATGAACTCTAACTGTTCTGAGGTTAGTTTGTGCATCTTAATCATCATCTGGAAATCATTCCTTGGAAGATCTGTGATTTGATCTACAGGAAAAGGAAGTTTGACCTGAAACCAAGAATAATAGAATATGATTACAGCAGCTGGAGTTGAAGTTTTAATTCTGACAAATAGAACATCAAAAAATGGTAAAAAAAAAAAAATCTCCTTTTTAAAATGACCAAGTAATATGAAAACTGCTGAAAGCAAGCAGTGATGAATTCCTTCCTGTTTGAAATGCAAACAGGCTGTAATATTTGGGCAACCAAACAGAGTAAGAACACACAAATTATAATGTGGTTACTATTCGTGAGATCGTAGAAATGAATGGCATGGAAGGTACTGGAAATGTGTCACTTTTCATTACTGTAGCACTTTGTAAGGAGGACTCCATTGTTAGTTGAAACTTACTTCCTGAAGACATGTAGCCTAACTCAACAAAATACAAATTACAGTGAGAGACCATCTAAGGACTTTCTAAAACACTTGAATGAAGAGAAGTCCACATACTTTGAAGATACTGGAAAGCTAAAATAATTAGCATAATTCTTAGTTACAGTGGCACTAGGGCAATATAAGGTGGTAATCAGAGAGACTTCAATGGTGTGGACTAGGAGTTGGAAGAACTGGGCTTCAGTTCTCACCAGAGAAGCTGCTTTACCACTTGAGGCCTCATGTTCCTCACCTGCCAAACGGCTTGTTTATTAGCTGCATGGTGTAACATGAGGGGCATGAGGGGGACTTCAAAAAATTCATGGGACATGAGTATTATGAAAAAGCTATGCATGGATTTCAAGATTTTTTTGTATGAAAATAAACTCATACTTTTTTTTTTTTTTTTTTTTTGCCATAGGGTGCATGCACTCCCTGGAGACAGACAGAGAGAGAAAGTGAGAAATCACCCTTTCAGGAAGGATGGCCATGCCACAATCACTTTTCCTTCATTCTCCTCTTGGGATTTTGGGCATACATGCCCAGTGTGATTGTCAAGCTGCTGGATCTGGGACTTGAACCACAGTCAGCTATGTGGGAGTCCAACACCTTAACCACTGTACCATCTGGTGGCCCCAATATACTCTCACTGCATTTCCCGGAGACTTTTTGAAGTCTCCTTACATAAGTCTTATGCAGTTTGGAAGATTGTATTTTCTAAAAACAGTCATCCTATCTCACATTTTCTCTCTCTTCTTTTCTTTCTTTTTTTAAAATTTGCCAGAGGGTGTGTGTGCTCGCTGGAGAGAGACAGAGACTCAGAGAGAGAAGCAAAGTGAGAAATAACTCCCCATAGGAAATGGTCATGTTATAATCCCTTCCCTTCCATCTCCCCTTTTTGGGATTTTGGGGACACACACACACACACACACACACACACACACACACACGGTATGTTCGTCAAGTCATCAGGTCCAGGACTTGAACCACACAGTCGGCCATGTGGGATCTAGCTGCCTTAACCACCAGGCCATAAGCTGGCCCCTTTAAAAAACAAACAAACAAACAAACAAAAAAACAGAGGCCATGTGTACTTGCCAGAGAGAGAGACAGAGAGAAAGAGAAAGCATCCCCCAATGAGGCATAGTCACACTCCATTCCTTTATTTTCCACTTCTCCACCTTATCAGGGTGAATGCAGGCCTGACATGTTTTCAAGACTCCAGAGCCAGAATTTTAACCACAGCTGGCCATAGGGGTCGGGCTCCCTATGTATACTGCTTAACTGCTATCCTACGGGGCCAGCCCTCTCACATTTTCTTTTTTACAGCATACTGTTGACATTCCTTTTTCAAGAGGTGGGGCACATGCTCCTGCCTTTTGACCAACAGAATGCAGTGGAAGCCAAGGTGTGTAATTTCTAAAGTTAGGTCATAAAAGGTGCAGCAGCTTCTCGTTAGGCCTCTTCAATTGCTTGCTCTGAAGGAAACCAGCTGGCATGCCTAGAGGGGACACTCAAGCAGCTCTGTGGAGAATTCCATGTGGGAAGGAGCTGAGGCCTCCGGTCAACAACCGGGATCACTCTGTCAGTCACGTGACCTATCCACATGGAAATGGATTCTCTCAGCCCAGTGAAGCCTTCAGATGAGCGAAGCCCTGCCAATGTCCAGAGAGATCCTGAGACCGAATTGCTCAGATGGACCACTCTTGAATTCCTGGCTCACAGAAAGTAAGACATGTAAAGCAGCTATTGTCTTAAGCCATCGAGTTTGAGGGTTACTTATTTTGCAGCAATTGATAACTGATGCAAGTACTTTTCCAGCAAGATTCCTATTTTCTTTTCTTTTTTTGAGAGATTTTTGCTATAGGGTACATGCACTTGCCAGAGAGAGATGGAGCGACAGAAAGTGAGAATTCCGCCCCCCCCCGCCCGGGGTGGGGAGCTAGCCATACTGTACTCCCTTCTCTTCCATTCTCCTCTTGTGATCTTGGACACACATGCACATGCGCCTGGCATGAGTTTTAAGTCACCGTGTCTGGGATTCGAACCATAGTTAACTACATGGGAGTCCAGGAAGGTAACCATTATACCACTGCTGGTCCCAGGATCCCTTTCAAACTTTCAAACTCTTGACAATCCAGGCAAATAAACACTATCTAAAAAGAGGTCACCTGTCTTTCAAAGGAAGGGCCCGTGCCTTCCCTATGTTGTTAAGTGCTTGTTTATGACCCGAAGGCAGTTTGAAAAATTTCTTAAGGGAAGCATAGTGACCAACGAAAATGAATGCAGGCAAGAAGCGAACCAAGCTTGTCTATCTTTAGGGCCTTCTCAGCACCTACAAGGTGACAAACATAGGCCTACACCTTCAAGCAGCTGCTGATGGCTCAAGGGACTTCTGGGTTCAGTTCTAGTTTTGCTTCAGAAGCTCATGGAAAAGGAAGGTGGTGTGTTATTAGGCCGAGACAAAATGTTTCCCAGCTCAGATCACTGAATTCTCCTGCATGGTTGAGTCTGCTTTCTCAGGGCCCAGCAGATGGCACTATACACTCAAACTTCTTTCAGTGCTAGCCCCTGCTGTCTAACATAAATGCCACGAGCCACATTTGTGATTTTAAATTTTCCAATAGCCACACTAAAAGAAGTAAAATGAAACAAGTGAAATAAATTAAAAAAGAAAATTGCTATAGGACATGTGCACTCACCAGAGTGCTAGAGAGAGGGGGAAAGTGAAAAAAAGCACCTCCCCAGGGGATGTCACAATCCCTTCTCCTTCATTCTTCACTCAAGATGTTGGGCATGTGCGTACACACTCCTTCTATAGTTTGCAAGTCACTGGGTTTGGGACTTCAACTGCATGGTTGGCTGTGTGGGAACCAGCCATCTTATCCACTACACTACTGGCTGGCCCCAAGTGAAATGAATTTTAATGACTTATTTAAAACAATAGAGCCAAACTATTCCCAACATGTAGTCAGTGTAGCAAAATTATTAGTGAGCTATATTACATTTTTATGCCAAAACTTCAAAATACCAAACATATTTTATTCCGACAGCATACCGCAATTCAGACTAGCCATACTTCAGGGGCTTAACATCCACACACACGGTGTGGCCAATGTGCTGGATAACACAGATCCAGAAGAAAGAACATATGAACTCGAGAGAACCCAAGTAGCCAGGAAAACACGTGGGCCTGGCTTTAATCAAAATATTTTGGGTAGGGGGCCAGTAGGTGGTATGGTGGGTAAGGGCACCAGACTCCAACATGGACAACTGTGGTTCGAGTCCGGGACCTGGCAGCTTGTTTTCTCACTTTCCCTCTCTCTGTTTCTCCGTCCGTCTCTGTTCAAATTAAAATAGATGACTAAATAAATCATTCTTAAAAAAAAGAGTATTTTGGGTGAAGAGATCAAGCCCTTGTTAGTGTTCGGATCTCACAGTGTTTGGCCTGTGTTGTTCATGGGAGTAAGGATGAAGATATTTCACCCTGAGTTCCGGCTTCTTTGGTTGCATCAGATGGGGAGACCCGAGTCCTGAGTCTGGCGTCTGTGGCTAGTTAATCCCTGTGCACAAAGACAAACATACTAAATGATCATTTGGCTGTTTTGTGATTGGGTGTAATTTCTTTGTCAGGTTACTTCAGAACTCTGAGCCTGCTTTACGTGGCATTTGCTGAAAGCTTCCAATGGGTGCTCTGATTCAAATTCCACATGGTGAACCCTGTCCCATGACACCTGTAAAATCTTGGCCCAAGAAAGCCAAATCACAGCAGGGCACATTACACCACTCACAGCTCAGCCCGGCTCCGACTGCTAAAGTCAGGCAGCCGGGACAAACAGCGCCTTGTTATGGGCTCGGGAAAGGTCTTTGTCCGTGGGGCTGTGTTTGCACAGGGCTTATAATGATATGAAAGAATGTTTGATTTCCCTTTCATACCCTTTGGATAACAAACAGACACTCAGATCCTGGAAGTGCCTCAATAACACAGAGGTCTGTCTGTTGGAGACACGGATGTTTCAACACAGCAGAGGTTGGGGAGCTGTTGGGGCTGTGGAGTTTCCCCTCTGCTGGCAGCAAAACCATTCTTTGGCTCTGTGTTATGTTTACGGATTTTCAGAAAGAAAATATACCTACAGTTTAGGTCACGGGGAAATCGAAAGGACTTCTATACCAAGAGCTACTGTGTTTAAAAACATCTAGACAGTGAATATTAAACACCAGGGAAGCGGGACAGTGCATTGGCAAGAAAAAGGAAAAATCAACAATGCTGGTCTCAAAGTCCTTGAAGCAAAAGGACATATAAAATTTCAGCAGAACTGTTGCAACTCAAGCTGCTTTTTAAAGGGGGTCAAAAGAAAAGAAAATAGTCAACCATGACTTTCTTTCATTTGGGAAAACAAAGACAAAACAAAACAAAACAAAAAAATCCCCACCTCCCTGGGTTTCCTTTTTTTTTTAAAAGAATTATTTTATTTAACTTTATTTACTATTATTATCATTGTTATTTTCCACTTTGATCAGAGAGAGACAGAGAGAGAGAGAGGAAGTGAGAAAGCAAGCCACCAGGTCCGAGACTTGAACCATGGTTGGCCATGTGGGAGTCCAGCGCCCTTAACCACCATGCCACTTGCCAGCCC